TAAATATTAAACAATCTTTAACCATAAGGTGAAACCAATCTTCAATGAAACTTATTTTTTTTTATTATTATTATTATAAAGAAATACTCAAGAATTACAAGAGTCTAAAGCAAATTTGTTGGTGAAAATGGGAAGTGGTCGGGAGCAACTTAGTAAACATGTAAATTGAACTATTCTTCCTTTAACTTAGCTAGATCATGACAAATGACATTCACTTGGTTGTTATTCTGATTTTGGTGTTGTGGCGAGAGGGTTTCTTTGACACCATTTTCATTATAAAAAACTATCTTCTCCTTGTTTAACTTGTCATGAAGCAAAAACCTCAAGTTGTGACAATTTTTTGTTGAGTGCCCCATGTATCTATGATACCAATAAATGCCTTAATTTTTTTTTTTTTTGCCTTCTTGAGATGGGAGCTTTTTCACCTTTGAAAGGATAACAACTTGATCAGCCGCCCACCAATCTAACAGAGCATATACCATGTTCATCATACAAGGAAAAAGCTAATGGTGGGTTCAATTCTATAGTTGCTCCTCTTATTCTTCTATTAGGTCATTCATCTAACTAGATGACGTTTACTAAATGAGTCCTCTAGGTACAAAAAACAATAGGGTGAAGTCATTCTTTTTAGAAATAAAAACGAGTTGTTAGTCCATCTAGCGCTTTCCACTAAGGTAGAAAAAACGACTAGGCCTAAATTCTCAAAATGCATTCTATATTCTCTATACATACCTTAGATACATAGCTTGACATGATCCTATCAAAATTCTCTTAAATGTCTAAGGTACGGTCTCTAAATAGCTTAATTTATTCCAATAAATTTTCTTTAGAACTTTGACATTCTCTTCTTAAGTCGGACATAGTCACCCTTTCATTGATGGAGAAAAAATTTTCGGTAAACAATTTGTACATGTTTGCCCAAGTATAGACGGAACCAAGATCCAAGTTTACATACCATGTATATGCCTTCTTATGGTTATTATCTAAACCATAAACACCCAAGTGCTCTGCAAACTTCATAATATGCTTCTTGACGTATCCTTGTTTTTCGTTAAAAACTCTAAACTTGGGACTCGCATAATCCTTTAGATAAGGTAAAATCGCTAGTGGATTTTATCAAATTTTATTCAAAGAACTTTTCTAAGTCCTACTTAATAAGATAGTAGTGTTAATCACTAAAGTAGTAACATAGTGAAGTGGTTGGTAGTCATCTATAGTCTGCATAGTTGTTTTTTGGTTGAAAAATATCTTTTACGTCATCCATTTTAACATGCGAGTATGAGATGGTTATCAACATTAATAGTTAGTGGTGGCGAAGCTTGAGGGATAACGATCTAAGAGATTCGACCCCTAGATAGTAGTTATGTGATGTTATCGAGGGCTTGGATAAATAGAACATTATTGCCTTAAAGAACTTTGAACACATGATTTTGTTTCTACTCGTATTTTGAGCTAAGCATCCTAAAAAACTTTCAAGACTTTAGTCATGGATTGAAGACCGGAATGTGGATATAGTTGTGGTAAGGGCCTAAGCAACGAGTCGAGATAAGCCACCTTTTAGTATTATTAGTAGTGCTTGGGAAGTTGCCATTACCAACTTAAGGGTTTAAAGGGTTGTTGATATTCTTAGTTTTAAACAAGCTAGCTTTGTCAATGTTGTGATTAGGATCATACGGGGTATCATCATTATTGTGGGCAATTGAGTTGGTAGCGGAATTGGTGTTTTTTTGATTGTCTTTGAAGGAGTCATTATTCTTCACAATCACTAACTCCTTAGTAGTGTCACCAAAATGTAAAAAAGGTTTTTGAGAACTGATTAGACTATTGGTCGACGGACGAGCCAAAATACAAAGAGCTAGTATTGTGATTTGTAAAAGCAACGATCAATCAACCAAGCGGAAAGAATGCAAATAGTGAGAGGTTTGGAAGGAGGAGGTGGCTTGCTAGCAAGATGCATGTCGTGTGGCTAGCATGTGGGAGGTAAAAGTTCAAACATGTGAAACTTTAGTAGCCGTTTGGTATGTAAATGCGAGAGTTTTATGATGGAGAGTTCAAAGATTTTTTTTTTTGTTAGAGATCTAAAGTTTTGAAGTCAAAAGTTCTCTAATGCAAAAGTTTTGATTCCCTCACAATGATGTGAGGTCTGGTATTTATAGTGAAAAAAAGATAGTCCTTAACCATTAAATCATGTCATGTCATTCAAGTTTAGACTATCATATTTGGCTTGTAGAATTTAGATTTTTTTTTTTTTTAGCTAAACCGCTTCTACTTGCAAGTCAAATAATTGGGCTCTTCTTTACTAGATTTTGCTTCAAGCTAACTAAGTCAATCTCTTTAATGCATCTCAAAAACAAGGCATGGACACCGACCTTGCTAGAATACCTATGTCCATTCTTATGACCTAAGAATTTATGTTGAGTTATGTATATTCCTAGTTCAATCCATTTATTGTACGAGTTTGGATTCATGTCAAAATCAAAGAAACATTATTATACATTAATAGAGAATAAAATTAGTTAAATTATTTAATTAATTTTATGAAAAATCGAGCACATGCATAAAGAACTTGAAAATTTACACAATCAAATAAAAATTAAAAATTAAAATACTCAAATAGAAAAAATTGTAAAGTTTGCACATCAAATTTGTAATAATCTCTTCAAAATGTAATTACTCTCTGAACAAATTTTTATGCAACTGGTTCCTGAACAATTCCCCCCACCCACCCCAATTAAATTAGTTATACGAATCACAAATGCAATTCCAATTGCAACAAGAAGCTAGCTAGCTAGGTGACGCTGCGAACAGGATGAAGCTGTGGTGAAACGTAGTCTTACAATTAAGCCTGCAAAAATGTTCAATAAACATGCCAATTGATTAGGTCGATTGATTAAGGTAATTTACCCCTTCTCGCAAAAGGGTTTTGATCAATTAGATCAGTTGACCCAATTCCGACATAGTTATTTTAATGATTAAATCCCTTACAAATACAAGTTGATTAAATTTATTATAGTGGAAAAAAAGAGTGAAAAGAACACATTTGTCCTCCAGTATCACATATATCTTAACAAGTCTCCAAACAAACTAAATTATCATTATCTATCAAACTTTAGCCATTTAACCTGAGAAATTTTATAAGTAATTATCAATATTTATTCTATAAGAAAAAGATAAAAAAATAATAATAATAAGAGTGAGAAAATTGACATTAGGTTGAAATCTTATTATTATTTTTGATAGGTTTGGATATGATTTTTTTTCTTTTATGTATCTTTTTCTTTCTTCAAAAGTAGGTCAATTGAATAACCATTGTATATATTTACAATAATTATTATTGAAGTATTTTAAAATTTCTCCATTTAACCCCACAATTAAAATTTATGACAAAAAAGGCATCATTTAACACAAATAGGTCCACATTTTTTTATGATTTTAAAAGCAAAAATATTAAGGAAAAGGGTTAATTCGGTAATGTCAATTTATAGGGATCCCCGATTGGGAATAAATTTTTCTTGGGCCTAAATTGGGAATTTTCTTTGTTTGGGGACCCAATTGAGATTTTTATGATAGTTGGAGGATAAATAATTCCTTGACCAAAAAAAAAAAAAGTTTCATAATGAACCCAGTCATACATTCTTAATATTATTAGTGCCGTACTGGTTATATCTTCAAGCTATTTACATTTGTGCTGTATTAAATTACGAAGCATATTTTATGAAAATTCGTAAAAAGCTATTTATGCTTTTTTGTCAAGTGATTATTTTCAGAAGACAATTCAGGAACCTAAAATGAAAAACATAGATTAACCTTGTGTTTGGATTATATGCCTCCGAGGGGCTATTCTGTTAGTTTCAAAAGCACAGGGATGAAATTAAAGTTTAATCAGGCTTCGTATGCTCCTCCTAAAACCCTAGGGACTAACACTCCTTTTGCCTTTAATTATTATTTTTGTGGTCTCTGCCATCAATTATCATGGAGATTACAATATGAACGATCATCATCTAAAACAATATCCTCTGTAGCCTTATCAGAGATTCCATGCAAACTTTAGCACATACAGGCAATCCTCTTAAATTGTTGATGAGCTCTATCGAATTCAAAGTCTTTAAAAATGATTCCATCCTCTTAAAACAATATCCTTTGTGTTTTTATTTCTTCCGTATGGAATTAAGTTTTTGTTTTTTGAAGGCCCATTTACATAGTGCAACCCGTTGCTTGGCCCAGACCCAAATCTGTAACTGGGTGTACCGCGTTTTGCTCTAATTTAAATGTTAATATCTCAATTTATCCCTATATTATATAATAAAATAATTCTCCAATATGATTATATTACAATAAGATAATTTTTTAATCTATTATTACTTCTTAATTTTTTCGATTTTATTTTTAATAGTCATCAAATTTTCAATTTATTACTTTGTTAACATTTTCAAAACAAATTATCGAAATTATTTACATGATTTATACATGACTAATTTTTGTTTTTAAAATATCCTTGTAAGTAAGTCAAATTGAAATATTTCATGTGCAAACTACTTGACTAATTTCAGTAATTTAATCTAAAAATCTTACCAAAATAATAGAATAAGCTTTTAATGTCTATTCAAAGATAAAATTGGTTGAATTAAAAATATAACGACATGTTGGAGAATTATTTTATTATATAAGGACAAATTGAGTTATCAACCTTATTTAATTTTTTTTTCAAAACTTGGGCAATAGCTATACATGATTTAGTGATTAATTTTTATTCTCAAAATACTCTTATAAGCTAATCAAATAGAAAACTTTTCTGTGCAAACCATATGACCAATTCTAGTAGTTTAGTTTGAAATCTTGCTAAAATCATAAAATAAACACTTAATTTATATTTAAAGGTAAATTTGATTTAATTAAATATATAAATATAGATTTGAAAATTGTTTTATTACATAGAAACAAATTGGGTCATCAAACCTCTATTTAAATTTTTTCAAAACTTTGGCAACAGCAGTTCAGATTCAGTGACTACTAAGAGTAATCAATCCCTTAAACATTGCGTAAAGATCCTTGTTATCGGGACCAAAAATCTCGTCGGCCTTCCTTAGAGTCTCCTGAAGTATTAAAGAAAATCAGATGAATAAAAATGGATATCAAGTTGTCAGCAAGCAACAAATTGAGCGAGGGGGAGAAAAGTACTGCTTTTGTTAGCCTCTTGGCATTAAATTCCTTAATCTTTCCCACAATTGCACCGAACTGATCATAAGATAACCGGCTCCTGATAAACATGAGAAGAGATTAATATGTTAAAATTCCAAAAAATAGAATTAATTTTTGTTTAATTAGCATCAGCATGAAAATTGCAGTATCTAATTAACATATTAGACGGGATTGCACCACAATGTTCCCTCCACCAGATCTATTTTCGGTTCCATTAGTGAATTCACGAGGAAAAACATCTGCAGCAGTTATAAATGCTTTTTCTAAATCAACACATATAGACCTCATGATCTCCTTATCTCTCGTATCTAGCTGGTGCTTAAGGATATTCATTTTCTTCTAGCCTCCAGATAGCTGTACATCAGGAGTTGTGCATCCAAAACTTCTGAAGCTACCTGGTTTTTAAGGTCATTTATTTCGTTCTCACCTTGAGATATGTAGCTGGTCTTTGTGATGCTATATTTCCTCATCTTTCAATGCTATTGCTACCTGGTCCTCAATTCCTTTATTTCCTTCTCATCAACTTGATGAGATATCAAGCTCACAATGGAATCCCTTTCTGCTGGAACTTCCCTGTGAGAATCATCAGGCCTAGGTTGCCTTTTAACAACGTGGAAGAATGATATGATTGTAACAGCCAATCCAGTGGAATATATATATATAGTTCAACTGCAATATTAAGTTCTAGTCTGTCCACAGCGATTGCAATTCTGCTATAATACAGTGGGGACATCAATCCTCAAAGATTCTAAAAGAACCAGGAAGCTTAATATTGGCAACATGTTCTTGTTGATCAGGCATGACAAAGTCGCTCTTGCAAAAACAATTAAACTCTAACCATGAGAGAAATACACGAACATATGCGCAACAACGGCCAAAAAATGTATTATGGAGGCATTGATTGAAAAAGGACTTTGGTACTATTTCCTCATTGTCAGTCTTTTTATAGTAGTCTTTGTTTAGTACTCTCAACCTATAATCAGAGAGTTTTCTCCACATTTAGACTCTGTATTTTTTTAATTGAAACCTTTACTTTTTTTTTTATTTGATTAAAACTTTTTATTCTTCAAAATTTGTTGCTTCGGACCTTTTGTTATAATACCATCAAACAGTAACGGACACGTGGTCAAAATTTCTTATTTTACAATATATGATGTCGATTATTGATTAGAGGCATTAGAACAAAAGCTCTAAAGCATCAGATTTCGAAAAATTATGTTTGGAATGTTGTAATTAATGAGAATAGATGTAGTTTTACTATATTTTCTGAAGATGTTGCAAGGTTGCCTGATCATCTGCCAAAATTATGAAGAGAACATAGACAGAGATTACCAACATGGTACATATATGGTACCAAAAACTAGTCTTAGAGACTCACTAGTTAGTTATTTAGATTGAAAAACTGAAACCTAATGTACATTATATAGACAAAATTGCCTCCGGTATAATTCATTTTTAATGTAAATTTCTTGTTTTTATAAAAACTTTCTATGAACCCATTAGCTAGTTTTTTAGCTAATTCATTTTTGGTGTAAATTTCTTGATATTGTAAAAATTTTCTATGAACCCATTAGCTAGTTTTTTGTTGAACCAATGGATGAACTACGATCATCCGCAAGCTGATATCTTTGCTGGCCAAGTAAATTGAGTCTTCAATCAATTCCATTGGTGATGATTATTTCATGCATTGGCTACGTCCTTCTTTTTCGGTCACATGTAGTGCAAACTTTGAGGATGAAAAGTTTGTGTGTGTGTATATATATATATATATATATAAACTACCTATGATTTGTTTGTTTAGCATTCTGTTTAAACAGGATCATTTATTTTTGTATCTAAATGATTAAATTTTGCTCTGTCAATTATGTTTTTATTGTCGCAAGAAAAAAGAAAAAAGAAAAAAAAGACAACATTTTTTTTACTCAAATGGTATCCTTGGCAAATCATTGCCATCAATATCAAAACTGAAATGACATCCTAGTATTCTTTCTTGATTGCTCTGCTCCAGTGAGGTCTTTTTCTGTAAACAAACTTTGAATTCCTTTCTCCATAGAATGCCTGTTGTTTTGAAATATAAGATCATCAGCCATTTTAACTGCGTCGCTCAAATGAGTACGAGCAAAGTGAATGGCTATCCTCAAACTGTCAAACTTCTTCTCCGTTATATCTAGTTGGCTCTTAAGATGTTTCATTTCATTATCTTTTAAATCTAGTACACGCTCAAGCTGTCGTATTTTCTCATCTTTCGATCGTACCTTCTTCTCGCTTAGATCTAGATGGCTCTTAAGATGTTGCGTTTCCTTACCTTGCCAACCTATTTCACGCTCAAGCTGTCGTATTTTCTCATCTTTCGATCGTACCTTCTTCTCGCTTAGATCTAGATGGCTCTTAAGATGTTGCGTTTCCTTACCTTGCCAACCTATTTCACGCTCAAGCTGTCGTATTTTCTCATCTTTTGATCGTACCTTCTTCTCGCTTAGATCTAGTTGGCTCTTAAGATGTTGCGTTTCCTTGCCTTTCAAATCTATTTCACGCTCAAGCTGTCGTATTTTCTCATCTTTCGATCGTACCTGTTGCTTAAGGGAATTTCTTTCTACTGAAACTTTGTTGTACTGCTCTTCATAAGAAATAATCCTTTTAGACATAGTGTCCTTTTCAACAACCTTGAAAAAAATGTAATTGCAGCAGGCTGTCCAGTAATAAAACAAGAAAAGGTTAGCAATTCCTACAAGCAATTTATTTTTAGATGTAATCAAGGAGAGTTAAAAATGTCTTCAAAATTTTGGGACAGAAAAACAATCCTTAGGACTTAAAAATCGATGTTCTATTCTAAAACTAGCTGATCACGCACGCACTCGGTGGTATATATATTATGATTCTTAAAAATTACAGTAAATAAGAATTAGATAAAAATATGACTAGCTAAAAATTAATTACGTATATATATATATATATATATTCCTGAGTCACTCGTAGAATTTGTATTTGATATTTTGTATTTAAATGATATAGTTTGTATAGTTTTATATAACTTGAATGTTGCAGGTGACATTGATGAACATAACACGAAAGAGTCCTCCTTCCAAAATCGGACTTTCCAGTATGATGGCTAACTTATGGAGTTCAATGGTCAAAGATCCTACATAAAGCTAGCAAATTTTGTGTTAAAAAAAAATGGCAATGTTCTTCTCAGGACTCGGATATGACAACTCCCTACTGCAGCAATTAATTTTTAAATAGAATTATTAGTATGCTTTTCCAATTTTAAGTCAAATCCTAGTATTTTTATTAAACTCCTAATATGCGATAGTATATCAACAATGCCTTTCTATTTTTTGTTTTAACATTAATTGACATTAAATGATTATTTTTTAATCTTATTCATAAAACGAAATTAAAACGAGGGAATTAATTCTTTAGTTTCATCCAAAAAAAAAAGAACAAAAGAAAAAGAACAAAACAAAGAGGCACGTTTTTACCGGTTGTTGACCTTGACAGAAAAATGAAAAAAAAAAAAAGGCTAAATAAAAAACAGTCATTGCATAACAATTATCTTATGGCCAGAATCACTTGAGTGGCAGTTAATTAATTGAAATGATAAAATTACTATACTAAAAGACGAGGTAAATTCCTCACAAAGAACCAAATTCATGTAAAAACAAAAAAGAAAAACATTCACCTACCAAGAAGTTGTGTTCTTCAAGCCACGGAGAAGTCGAGGAACCACCCAAGGATATCTAATTTCAGGGTTTTCAGGAGACTGGAGAGTTTTAGATGAAATTCGCATCAATAAGCGAAAAGAAGAAGAGGAAGAAGAAGAATGTGCATGAGAAAACAAACGATTAGATGTACTAATTAATAGAGACTATGCTAACTATAATATAAAAGGCTGAGGATGGAACAAAACCTCTTTCTTGGAAGCCCCTGCTGAAGTTTCTTTGCTTGTATGAAGTGTTTACAGATAAGTTTGAAGACTCCAGTAAATATAAGGTGCCTATACATGCAATCCTATAAGCAGGTTGAAGTTAACTGATCTTTTATTCCTAACTAATTAAATTCACTAAAGAAAGCTGGTCATTTTTTACTCTTTGTTTCCCAAGTCCCTCGTGCTTTCTCTCTCCTTATTTCCAAGTTGCCAACCAGCTTCTCGATCTGGTGGCAATATAAAAATTGAAAAAGGACATAAATGTTCTCTAATTATCACTCCATTTTTTATTGAGTTTCCCAACAATTAACTTTCTCAAAAAAAGAAGTATATCCCTTCATGTTGCGGTTAGAAAAAAAGAAGAAAGTATATCCCTTCATGTTATTTTCTGCTCCATAGTGTTGTAAGCATTAATTGTGGTTGTGAAGGTTGTTTTACCATAGTTATCTATTTGCCAAAAAAATATATTTATAATTTATGCCGTTGAAAATGTTGTTGATGTTAAAAGGATAGGGAAAAAAAAAAGAGAGTAAAAACTATTTATTTTAAGTATTTGTGTCAATTGCTCATTAATTTGTACTTTTGCATTGTAAATTTTGGTAATTAATTCCTACCAGGCATTGTTACGTTGTATCTAATTTTATTCAGTTGATAATTAATTAATGAACCTATAATTATCTCTATTTCATTTTGAAAATTTTATCATTATTAATAAGTAATTTTATATCCATCTTGCAATTATAAACAACTTGGAAGCTGTCAGTAATTAAATATATTGCTCGATCATATTAAATTTATAAGAGTTGTTGACATTGCATGCTGTATTAATGGATTATTATTACTTGATGTCCCATAGTTAATTTCTCAGATCTAACTTGTGTTAATATCAATAACGTTATTTAGAGTAGTTTGACTTTGACAAATTTTAATACATACAAATTATATGTAATGCAATGCATGCAAATGGAATATATATATATAAGCCATTAAAAAAAAACCAACCTAAAAACCAGAAAATAAAATGAATTAAATGGGAAAACTTTTAAAAGCAAAATTTTGTTTCTCATAATTTCCCTTTATTATTTGAAGTAGGGATAAAATTGAGAGTAAACCAAGTTAAGTTACCAGAAAGAACTAGATTAACAAACTAAGGACCAAACTGACTAAGAAAAATAGCAAAAATCAAAGCAATACTTTGTTTTTCACATTAGTCCTTCATAGGTAAAACAAGAGTGAGATTGAAAAACAGCAAAGCTATGTTACTAAAGTGAAACAACATGACAAACACATGGACTGAAATATAAATAAAAAGGCAATCTTAAAACCATGTTCAATCCTTACTATTTAAACCTTATTATGTTGAAATGAGGGGCATAATTGTAAATGTATAACTCAAAAATATTAAAACAAAACGCAGCTATAAAGATAGGACTAACAAACTAAGGACCCAACTGACTAAAAATTAGCAAAAAAAAAAAAAAATGTATTCTTCACATTAATCCCTGATAGGTAAAATAAGAGTATGATTGAAAAATATCAAAGATATGCTATTAAATTGAAACAATATAACAAACACATGGACTAAAATATAAATAAAAAGGCAATCTTAAAACCATGTTCAATCCTTACTATTTAAACCTTATTATGTTGAAATGAGGGGCATAATTGACAATGTATAACTCTAAAATGCTAATGTGAAACACAGCTATGAAGATATGACTAAAAAACTAAGGACCAAACTAACTAAAAAATAACAAAAATAAAAGCAATATTTTTTTTCACATTAGTCCATGCTAGGTAAAATAAGTGTACAGTTGAAAAATAACAAGCTATGCTATTAAGGTGAAAAAATATAACAAGCACATGGACTGAAATATAAATAAAAAGGCAATCTTAAAACCATGTTCAATCCTTACTATTTAAACCTTATTATGTTGAAATGAGGGGCATAGTTGAAAATGTATAACTCTAAAATGCTAATATGAAACACAACTATGAAGATAGGACTAACAAACTAAGGACTAGGGTGACAAAAAAATAACAAAAATAAAAGCAATATTTTATTTTTCACATTAGTCCCTAATAGGTAAAATAAGAGCACGGTTGAAAAATAACGAAGCTATGCTATTAAAGTGAAACAATGAACAAACACATGGACTGAAATATAAATAAAAAGACAATCTTAAAACCATGTTCAATCCTTACTATTTAAACCTTATTATGTTGAAATGAGGGGCATAATTGAAAATGTATAACTCGAAAATGCTAATACGAAACACAGCTATGAAGATAGGACAAACAAACTTAGGACCAAACTGACTAAAAAATAACAAAAATAAAAGCAATATTTTGTTTTTCACATTAGTCCCTGATAAGTAAAATAAGTGTCCGACTGAAAAATAACAAAGCTATGCTATTAAAGTGAAAAAATATAACAAACACATGGACTGAAATATAAATAAAAAGGCAATCTTAAAACCATGTTCAATCCTTACTATTTAAACCTTATTATGCTGAAATGAGGGGCATAATTGAAAATGTATAACTCTAAAATGCTAATACGGAACACAACTATGAAGATAGGACTAACAAACTAAGGACCAGACCGACAAAAAACAGCAAAAATAAAAGCAATATTTTTTTTCACATTAATCCCTAATAGGTAAAATAAGATTATGGTTGAAAAATAACAAAGCTATGCTATTAAAGTGAAACAATATAACAAACACATGGACTGAAATATAAATAAAAAGGCAATCTTGAAACCATGTTCAATCCTTACTATTTAAACCTTATTATGTTGAAATGAGGGGCATAATTGAAAATGTATAACTCTAAAATGCTAATACGAAACACATCCATGAAGATAGGACTAACAAACTGAGGACCAAACTGACTAAAAAATAACAAAAATAAAAGCAATATTTTGTCTTTGACATTAGTCCCTGATAGGTAAAATAAGTGTACGGTTAAAAAAATAACAAAGCTATGCTATTAAAGTGAAAAAATATAACAAACACATGTACTGAAATATAAATAAAAAGGCAAAAAGGCAATCTTAAAACATTTTCAATCCTTACTATTTAAACCTTATTATGTTGAAATGAGAGGCATAATTGAAAATGTATAACTCTAAAATACTAATACGAAACATAGCTATGAAGATAGGACTAACAAACTAAGGACGAAACTGACTAAAAAATAGCAAAAATAAAAGCAATATTTTTTGTTTTTCACATTAGTCCCTAATAGGTAAAATAAGAGTACGATTGAAAAATAACAAAGCTATGCTATTAAAGTGAAACAATATAACAAACAAATGGACTGAAATATAAATAAATACCAATGAATGAACTACCGACAAAAACATGTACATTATATAACAAAATTGCCTAATATCGGTTTAATTCATTTTTAATGTAAATTTCTTGTTTTTCGTAAAAGTTTTATGTGAACCCATTAGCTAGTTTTCTAGCTAATTCATTTTTGGTGTAAAATTCTTGATACTGTAAAGATTTTCTATGAACCCATTAGCTAGTTTTTTTGTTGAGCCAAAGGATGAACTACCAACATCCGCAAGCTGATATATTAGCTGGCCTAGGAAGTTGAGTCTTCAATCATGTCCATTGGTGATGACGCTGATCCAGTGAGGTCTGCTTCCATAAACAATTTTTCAGTTCCTTCCTTCAGAAGAGGCCTTTTGTTTTGATATACAAGAGCATTGCCAGCCGTTGTAACTGCGCTGCCCAAATCGGTACAGGCAGAGTGAATGGCTATACTCAGCTTCTCAAACTCCTCCGATCCTCTCTTAGATCTTGTTGGTTTTTTAAATGACGCATTTCGTCGTTTTTCAAAAATAATTCAAGCTTAAGCTGTCGTATTTCCTTGTCTCTCGATCGTAACTGGTTCATAAGGCCATTTATTTCGTTTTCAACTGCAGATGGTTGCTGCTTAAGGGAATTTTCTTCTGCTGAATCATTGTCGTTCTGTTCTTCATAAGAAATAATGCTTTCAGACATAGTGTCCTGTTCAAGAACCTGGAAAAATGTGTAATTGAAACAGGCAGTTCAGTAATAAAACAAGAGACTGTTTTTAGCTGTAATCAAAGAGAGATGAAAATGTCTTCAAAATTTTGGGACACAAAAACAATCCGTAGAAGCTAGAAATCGATGTTTTATCCCAAAACTAGTTGATTATGCACACACTCCATGGTATATTATGATTCTTAAAAATTGTAATAAAAATTAATCATAAATATGAACATAACACGAAACTAGTGTATAAAAATTAAAATGCGTATATTTAACTCATTGAAAAATAGAGAAAAATTGTGAGTTATGGATGAAGCAGGTTTTTTCCCGTACCTGATCAACATCTGTTCCGTTTCGTATATCCTTTTCTTTTCTCAGATTCTTTTTTATCCATGAAAGCATCTTCATCTTCCAGAATTGGACTGTCTACTATGATGGCTAAAAAAGACGAGGTAAATTGCTCACAAAGAACCAAATTCATGTAAAAATAAAAACTAAAAACATTCACCTACCAAGAGGCTGTGTTCTTCAAGCCACAGGAGAATTCCAAGAACCACTCAAAGATATCTACTTTCAGGCTTTTAGAAGATTGGAGAGCATTAAATGAAATTCGCATTAAGAAGCTAAAAAGAAGAAAAACATGCTTGAGAAAATAAACGAGTGGATGTGCTGATTAATAACGACTATGCTAAAAGGCCAGGAGGATGGAGCAGAACCTCTTTCTTGGTTGTATGAATTGTATACAAGTTTGAAGGAGTCCGTGACTCTTCAGATTTGGTTTTGGAAATAAATAAATAAAAATTTATGGATGAATGTATCTGTAAAAAAGAAGAGAATATTATAAATCAGTCCTTACAATTTTAAAAAATGAATTAATTAGTCTTTTTTTATTTTAAAAATTAACTAATTAATCTCTATGTTTTTAAATATTCTTGTAACTTAATTTTTTTTAATTTTTTGTTTTAAAAAATAAAAAAAGAAAAGATTGATAAAATTTTTTTATGAAATAAAATAATATTAAATCAATCATGATCGACATTAGTTAAATAACTAAATAATTAATTTTTAAAGTAAAAAACTAATTAATTCATTTTTTAAAACTAAAGGTACTAATTTATAATTTACTCAAAATAAAAATATACAACAAGGACATGATAGGTTATAATAATATTGTAAAAAAAAAACTAAAAGAACTGAGGTATTGACTATTCATTTACTGTAGCTTGGCTTTTTTGTTATTTTTTTGAATTTCCGTGGGCAATGATATGTAAGTTATGCAATTTTTTATACTTTGATCCCTAATATTTTCAAAAGTTTTATTTCAATCCATATTTTTATTTGCTAATACATTTTGGTCCCTGAGTATAGAGAAGAGGGAGGAAAGAAGAGAGAGACGGGAGGAGAGAGAAAGCATCGATCAACCTTATTTCGGCCACTTTGGCCGGCGAAAACCCCATTAGATTTTTTTATCTTTGAGAGATGAGTTTATTAATAGTGGTTTTAAGCCATTAAATAATAGAAAGATGTAGATTGGAGCCGAAAAAGAAAAAATTCGATTTGATTATTTTTTTTTAATGTGCATTAAAATGAGTTTTTAAACCTTAAAAGTGTTTATTGACTTTATTTCGATCATTTAGAAGTATTTATGAGAAAAATAATGCCAATATTGGTTTTTTGGAGGTCTGAAAATGAATCTCCGATTTTCCGATGAAGCTTTTGGCAAGCTTAAGCTCACTGGAAGTTGTAGCTTTTTTTTTTTCCTTGGGCTAGCACATGCCTAACCCATTTTTTTCCTTTAGGCTGCCAGCTGCCCAGGCCTGGAGTGGAAGAGACTGGAGCAGCTTGGCGCACAAGTCTAGCTCACAGACCCACCATCGCTGGGCTGGGTTGGGTTGGCTGCACATGCCTGCCCTCTTTTTCTTTTTCTTTTTCTTTTTTTAATAATTTATTTTTATCTATTTTTATCATGAAATTAGGTGTGAAAATATAGAAAATAGATCAATTTTTTTTTAGTTTTACATTTAGTTTGACGTAATAGAATATATATAATATTTTTTAATATATATATATATATATATATATATATATATATATATATATATATTCCTATTGTTTAAATTTTATTTCTTCAATTATTTGTTTCTTATTAAAATTCTCATCCGATTAATTTTTTAATTTTTTGATATAATTTCATTTGTTAATAAATTTTTTTTATAAATGAATTTTGAAATAAAATTTTGAAACGCAATTGTGTTATTGTTTAAAATATATTATTATTATTTATATGATTAATTATTTTTTATAATTTTTAAATAAGACTAGCATAGTTACATGTATAAATTCTGATTAGAGAAAGAGAGAACTAAAAATGTGTTTTAGATAGTTTGACTCGATTTTTTTAAAAAAATTAATAATTAGTTAAAAAAGAATTTGTAGATTTTATTTGCTTATATATAGTTTTGTTAGAAATTAATTATATATCCGCATCGATAACACCGATTATTTGTTATTTATTTTTTTGATATTCTAAAATCTGTATTTTTAAATAAAATAATTTAATTAATGTTTTAAAAGAACCTTTCAATTATTTAAATACAAATTTTTATACTAATATTATAAATTATTTTGATAATAAATATATATAAATTAAATATTTTGCTCAATACATATATTCAATTTATATTAATCGCTAGAAATAAAATTTTTACTCACATTACTAATATACGAATCATTAATCTTACGTATACGATGGTTGTGTGATCACAACATACGTAACGTAGGTATCAAACTAATTGTAACTATTTATACTTCAATTCTGTTTCAAAAAAAGTGGGTCCAATATTATATGGATAAGTTATAATTTATATGGAGCTCGTGCTTTCTCTCCATTATTGCCAAGTTGCCAGCCAACTTGTCGATTGGATGGCAATTAAAAAATCGAAGAGGACAAAATTGTTCTCTAATTATCACCCCATTCTTTGTTGAGTTCCCAACAAATGATTTTCTCAATTGAGTCCCCATTGATTAGACAGTTTTTTTTTTTTTTGACAAAATGAATTTCGTTTTTATGATATACAAATCCCAACAAATGCTCTCTATTTTTTGAAAAATATTAGATTGAAAAAATATTTGAAAGAAATTAATGTGATACTATATCAATATGTATGTCAAATGATTAGATCAACTGATCCAATTCTAATAACTTCGCAATTTTTTTCTTTTTTTAATAAGGAATGTGGATTGAATATTTGAAACAAATCATGATGCATTTAGCTACTTCATATGAAGATGAATGGCGTGTAGTTCATAGAAGTGACCGGCTTGTCCTAGTGGACCTCCGGCCTTCTTTAAACGGACTTTCCTAGAGTTATGGGCTTCAATTTCTCATTGGAACAGTAATTTTGCATGCTATATATATATATATATATATATATATATATATATATATTTTTACGACAATGATTTTAATAGGAGTATAAAGTCCTGAATTTTTGGTAAAAAAAAAAAATCTATAATATTTATTTTAATTTTGATATTAGTTTTTTTTATCTTGTTGATTGATATAAATTTTAAAATACTCAAAGAGTAATTTATAATAATTACTCTATGAACCCACATTGAGAAAAAATGAACAGAAAAAAAGAAAAAGAAAAAAAATCATATCCAAACTCATTAAAAATGGTAAAAATATTTTCACTTAATCTCAATTTTTTTTTTAAATTTTCTCCCTCCTATTTCTCTTTTTCTTTATTTTTGTCTCTTTGTAGAGTAACTTATAATAGTTACTCTATGAATCCATTTTGAAAAAAAAAAAACGGATATAAAAAAGAAGAAAAAAATCATATCCTCGATTCATTAAAAGTCATAAAAATATTTTCATTTAGACTCAATTTTTTTTACATATATATATATATATATATTTTGGAATATTTCTGTTTATGAGAAAAATATTATTAGTTACTCTTTAAATAAGATAAAATTTCTTGTTGATTAATCTCATTGATATTGACGAGTGTCTCTTTCAACATTCGTATTGTTGTTTTAATAGCTAACATGTATTTTATTTGTGAAACAAATAATAATAATAATAATAATGGACCAAAAAAAGTTCTGAATCCAAATTAGATTAATAATAAATTAAAGATATTTCGTTTTTGTTTTTTTTTGTTGATAATTTTTTTTAAAGTAAATTAACATTTAGTACTATAGGTAGTCAATAGGAAAGAACTCACAAATATATCAACAGAAAATTTAAGGACATCAACTATTATATTAACAGGAAGGTTGTTCATTCCTTGATATGTAGCAGGTCCTTGAGGCGTTGTATTTCTTCATCTTTCAAAGTTACTTGCTGCTGCAGCTCACCTTGAAATAACTTTTTAGAACTTGCCTTTTTATTTAGCAGCTTCATTCTTATCCATTAAACTATCTTTACTTATCTTCAATCTTGCACAAAGATTAGTTAGACCGTACCTTGTGCGATGATTTACCAGATCTAGCTTTATTTTTTTTGCATGGAGATTTAAGAGTTAAATATAGTCCAAGGGAAAGAGGAGGACACTATTGTTGCTAAATTGGAAGTTGAGAAAGCTATGAAGATTGTATGAAGACATCGGAGCATTTTGGATTAGAGACTGAGAAAGCCATGGAGATATTGGAGAGTTTTGCTCGAATTTTCACAAACAGTGGTATGTTGTCATGTGCATCTAAATTAAACTCCTAAACTCCTAAACTCCTACAACACAAATGTAGTAAAGGAGAGCGGGGATCGATCCCACGAGGAATCCAAACGCGTTAGTCGTCACAAGCCTAGAAGAAGCATGAAATAAATAAAAATGAGGTTTTGATTTGATTGAGATATAACTGAAACTAAACAAATTAATTTCAGAAAACGAGTTTAAAATAAATATTCAAGTAAACAAACCTTGGTTCGGGTCACATCCACTTTTGGAACTTGAGATTCATCCTTGGTGCACGAAATATCATATTCCTATTCAAATATTTGTTGTGATATTGAAATTAATCTTTCCTTATGATTAGCCAACTAGAAACATGTATTCTAATCAACCCTTATTATTTAACAACCCTAGATACGATCTAAGATTTAATCAAATAATGATTTTATGTATTAGAAAGATCAACAAAGTAAGACAACACAACACATGTAGTTGCATTTAATCTAGTTAAACATCCCTCCTAAGAGTCATTAGTTTCGACGCGACAAACCATACACTCCTAGTTGCTACACAAATCAAAGGGATTGAAAAATTACGGATTCAATATTCGACCTAGTTATAGATTATCTAATTTAATAAACCAACTGTACACATTAGAAATTAACCTAAATAATCATGAAAATAAGCATTGAAGAAAGTTCAATACTTGAAATAAACAAATTGATTTATATT